TAAAGTTTAGAGAACTGTGCCAATAATAATGAAAATTCCGACGTCAACATTGAACGTTACTTTGATCAAAATACATTAAAAAAATAGTTAGTAGATTTCTCGAAATATTCAAAATATTGGTAATTTTAAATAAAGTTTTTATTCACTATTAAAGGCGATTCTAAAAATTTTATTAACACAAAAAAAAATGAGATGAATTTTGATACAAATAATGTTGAATGTAGGTTTTATTATTTTCGTTATTATTCACAGTCTTAAGTTTTTCATAGAAAATTAAGTATTGTTTTAAATGTTCAAGAAATTGGCAAGAGCGGGTCTGCCCCCACAGAGCATTGCCCGAGAACAAAAAGGCAGGTCAAAGATTTCTAACTAAGGAAGCGCAAGATAATTCTGTAAACGGCGGCAACCAGGTAACATTGGCCACAGCATACACTATCATACTTTAAATATTGAATGTTGGATTCTTCTGAAAAAAAAATAAAGAATAAATAATATTAGCGGAAAATTATAAGAATGATGAATACGAATCTTTCATATGTTTCAGATGTAGTTGCAATTTTATTTTTTTGAGTACCTAATTATTCTGAATCCAATTCTGGTTCAAGAGCAAGATAATGTGTCAATTTGGTCACGACTATCAGGAGAATACGCTACTTTCCATATAAATTTTAAAAAATGCAGTTTGCAAACTGAATTTATCACAATCAAATCCTATATTATTTACCAATACCGACTACTATTTTAGAAGATCTACGTCACTCTAGTGGCGGACATTCAGGATAATATTTTAAAGAAAAAGTTATAAAACTATTGCCTCACCTAAGCAAAAATGTGATAAATACACCTAACTTTTTTATTTGACGGCGAATTTCCACGAATGGCATTTGGAATCATCAGTAAAACATTAGAAAAATACTGAAGGTAAGTTGTATACTTACAGATGATGTTGAGGTATTTAACTATGTCTAACTAATCCTTGGAATATGTCATGAGAAATAGTGAAAACTAAGAAGATTAAGTAGAGCAAACGTAAACGGTATTTACATATGTAATAAATTCGATATTTTTTTACAAATAAAGAAAATATGATGCCATTTAAATGTTAGGTGATGAATAATTAAATCGGTACTCCTCATTTATAAAAATCTTCTTGAATCGAAGGAATATTTTCAGACCTACCACACGCATGTTTGTGGAGTTGTCAACTGGTAATTAAGAACATATTCCTGTTCCTTAAGAAAAATTACCTAAATGCTTTTTAATTGTATTCGAAAGCGTACTTTATTGACACACACGACTAATTATCCGTTAAAAATTCATTGGCCTAATGACACACAGTATTTCACAGGAAAAATACATATATCATGTAAATATGCAGGTATACTCGTACATATTTTTCTTTTAAGAAAGAGTGGTACCTAATATATGACAATGGTTGAAATCAAGCAACAAATTCATGCAGACGTCACAAAAACAACTTTATGACAAAAATGGTTGTCGTGCGTTGTCTTTGTTTATTCCCATCGTCTCCGTTAGGTCATCTTGTGGCGTGGTGTATGGCGTGTAGTGCTGGACAAGTCTCCGTTTATCCGGTTATTTTGGTGACAATTGTGTAATAATTAAGATTTTAATAAACCTTCAGTTTTTCAGTTCTTTTTTAGTTTTTTCCAATTTTTCTGAAAAAAAAAACCAGTTTTTATCGCATGCCCATGTTTCCTGAAATTTTCAATTCTTGGATGAAACTGATCAGTAAAGTGAATATACTAATCGAATTATGGTCATCATAAATATGCCCAGCCTTACTTAAATTATCTTTTTGTAGATTTTCATTTTCTTTTTTTTTTTTTCTTTACAAAGGCTACCTAGAGTATCGACAGATACCTCTGTCTGTTTGTCTATAGTCCAAGCCGTTGTGTAACTAAAAGTTTATTAAACAAACATTCAATTCAAGTAAAAAATATATTCAAAAAATTGTTACAAGTAATTTCTTGTTTTATCAATAATAGTGGATTTAAACTGAGAAGAATACACATGACAATGAGTCAAATTCGATGGGATTTCAAAGTATCTTATAAATTATTAAAGACAAAAAAACTTAAAACACATTCTTAATCTTGCAAATTTGAGGAAACTAAGACAACACCGCAATTTTTTTGAATTTGAACGGTGTCAACAATAAACCATGGCCGATATTCCCCCACGTTCCTCCAACACTGCAGACTATTATTTAAAAACCCGTGAAATCATTTCAATACTGTAGATCCACTTCATGAATTTGTAGATAGCGCTGAAATTAATCCAAGTAATTCGCGCTAACGCCGTGTGAAATTATTGTAGCAAGCCCCGACGTGTACGGTTGACAAAATGTTACAGAACAACGTCGAAACTAATTTCGTAATTTAAATAGTGTTGCTCCAAATCGGCCTGGTCACGATGATTAACCTAGAAGGACCGTTTCAATTATATAACCGTTAGCTAACTGAAATCTATAATCGAAATTGTGTACCGTAAAAAAACAATGATGTGTGGATGCAGAGATCGGGCAAATTTACAGTTATTTGAACGAAACGCCACTGTTCTTTTGTGCACTGAAATTTTTTGAAACCGGATGAGTCACTGATAAATGTCGATATTATTACACTTTCCCAAAATTCTCCGACTAACTAATTTTACACTCAATCAAGATAGGTACCTGAATATCGTCAATTATGATATTACTAGTGATATCAATCAATTGCTTGATGAAAATTAAGTACTGTTAAAGTGGACGCTGAGTATTACTAGCATATACTTGTGGTTTACATTGTTGAACTGATTCCAAAATCCAAGCCATATAAATCATAAAAAGTAAAGGACCTAGAATTGAGTCATGGGGGACACCAGAAATAATTTTTAACCTATTACAGAACATATTAACGCAGATATGTTGAGTTTTTCCATGCAAAGAAGAATTAATCATTGCATGAGATGGATCATCAAATCCATAATATTTAAGTTTCAAACAAAGGCTGCATAAGTCCAATAACGCTAAACACTCCCTAGTCCCATGTCTTGTGTTCTTATTAAGTCACCCGTGACGATAATTAAGGTAGTTGACTCCCTTTTCTGAAGCCACATTGAGATTGAAATTTCTTACAAAATAGTCAATAACAGCAACCAATTATTTCTCTTTAAGCAAAATCGGACAAGTTTAATTTAAATTAACAAACAGCAATTCATATACAGAATAGAGTAAGTTGTTTTAGTCACTCAAATAGTATCCATATCTTAAAAAAGTACGTAGATTTAGAATAAAAAAGAATTATTATACGTTACCGGTACACATCGAACGATATGTTAGTAAAAATATTTTGTTGTATGTATTATGTACTTTACAATGCGTATTGATTTTAAATTTTGTGAAACATTGCTTAAAATTCATCCAAGATGGGAATTACAACGACATGTACCTTCTTTATTATACATTTTCAGACGTGCTCTGATAAGAATCCCTTAGAAGAATTTATTTTTCAATGAAGTTATTATCTTTGACAATAGTGTTCCAAAGTCATTTTGAATTATTTCAATATTTAAAACAAAAATGTGTATAAAGTACTCCAATCAATATAGAGTTCCATTTATAGAATGAAAAAATGGAGACAATATTATATAATAGCCAACAAAACAATAAATAAAAAAGACCAACATAAAAACATATTACTATCATGTATCATGTTTGTTTATAAAAACTGCTAGTCGCATTTAAAAAATGCCAAATAATTTGATGATTGCTGTCTCAAAATTGTATGAGAAACCTAAAAATGTAAATATGTAATTTAGCAATTTACATCACAAAACCTGTTTGTCAACAGCGCCTTGGCCTAATTTGTGGGGAAACAAGAGGAACATCTTATCTCTTTGATTTTCCAAAGAAAATTTTCACACACTGTGCAAACTGTAAATAATGTAACATAAGTAATTGTTGAATATAACTCATGCATTTTTGTATATGTATGTTGCACTCGAAAATTGGTAACTTTATGCTGTTGCTAGGATTGATTATATTACTGATTTTACTTCGCCTTAGGTGATTCTTTACACAAAATTAAAAAAAATATCATGAACGTAAGTTCTAATATTACTGGAAAATTTGGATGTGAATAACTTCACATTTATGGTTTGCAAACGCTTCGTTTTGGAGATAGAGGTTGATAAAGTTATATTATTATTTTTTAGGTATGCTCACTTAAAACATATTTTTTAAGGTAGGTAATTAAGATATCTAATCCCTTCAAATTCGGTACATTCAACATTTTTTTATGATCGACGGAGTGCACGAATTACCACTCAAAATAATCTACATAGTCGAATTTTATTTGGAACCACGATTCCTCTAATACTTTCAAATTATTCTATTACGAATATACTAACTCTTCTTCAGAGAAAAAATAATTCCTCTGTTCCATTCCTCAAGTTTTTGCACACGTAAAATTTTTGATATCTTTTAACTGTTTGGAAATGGAGAAGTATTTTTTGAATGACCCTGTAAACTCTCCAATAACGTTGGCATTCCTTTTTGAGGAAATTCGTTATACTAGTTCTCACTTAATGGTAAAACTGTAATAAAATGGTTTCGAGTCTCATGGTCGGCCAACACCAAATGGAACAAATTAGTACCAATCCGTCTTCCAAGAAACATTGTAAAACAAATAGGTACGAACTTTTTACTTATGATCAGAGAATCACTCATACAATTCTGTTGCTTAATTAATATTAATTGAATTATTTAACTATCGTCCAATTTCGTATTCGGATAGACCAAAACTCCTTCAATTCCTGTATCTATTAGACTGTTTCAAGAAGAGCAGAACTGAGGGATAGAGGAGAAGTGGGAGAAGAGAAAGAAATAAACTTAAAATCCATCCGTTCGTGGTCTTCTGATACTTACCTCTTCGTCGTAAGCTGTCAGAGGTAAAAAACGGTGGCGAGAAATTTGGTATAATATGTATATGGTGACTTACCCATGGCCGTTTGGAAAGCTGGAGTACGGGGAGGACGTGTTCTGCGGCGAGGCAGCGGACGGAATGGCAGCAGGTTCGTAGTACTCCGTGTTCAGAGTCCTATCGTCGATCTTCAGCTCGGCATTATGAGCTTTGGACGCACTTTTGATGTCCATGAACGCCACCGTGCACGCCATCGTGATCTCGCCGGTCTTCTCCTCGGTGCACCTCGGCAACAATTTGACACTCTGCACGCGGCCATACCTGCAACAATTAGCCCCGGGTTAGAAAGCTGTAAGCGGCAAGTGGTAGGTGGAATGGTTCCGTTCTTAAACATTAACAACTAAACTCCGATATTTCTGACGTTTCAGTCTCAGACAGTGAACCAAACCTCTTTAAAACAAAAGCGTCAACAGTGCAACATTATTTTTCCTTACAAAAACAACCATCAATCAGCCAAAATCGTAATTGAAAAGATTTGGAGGAGAAAGGAAAAGATATTGGCATGAAGAAATGAAGAAATACTTAAGACAACATTATTGAACACCGTAATGGTGAGCCAAATGAATAAAATTAAACCAAATGAACATAATAGTAGTATCATTCATCACTTAACCTTACAAGAAAACTTTTCATCCTTAAAACAATCAAAAGGCCTACCAAAAAATGTTTGGAAGACGAAATGAAGGATCATGGTATGTCAGGAACCAGTTATCACAATATTATAGGATATAGTGAAGGACTTACAAACTAAACATTGAGAATGATAGCTATATAGTTGACACCAGTCCTTCGTACATTCTTAAGGGAAGTTTTGAGTCTATGAAAGTACAATTCCGCACGTAAGTAAGACTTACGTTTCTTTTCCTGGCAAAAGCAGGGAAAGTTTTATGAGCCACTGAACGCATACTTATATGTACTATTTATATGTTTTATAACAGTAATAAGTACACAAAAATTATAAATATTTATATACAAGTTAATATTTTCACATTTACTTTTAGGTTTTAAAAATAAACGTTCAATATCTAGGTATAGTAGCATTTAAACATTTTGAAATGAGTAAAGGGTTTTCCAATGGACGTATACAAAATTAAAATGTAATGGTACAAAATCTTAACATCAAACGTTGACAACTGTGTTTAGTACATTGAAGCAAGTTATCCTGGAAAGTTATACAAATCAACAGCGTGTAGAATTCATTCGAGTTTACCATCAAAGTGCCGGCTGTTTGCCACAATTTCGCGCATTGCCTACAATTTATGATCAACATAATCGACCAACCAAATGGTTTCTTTATCGTTTAGTTGAAAAATTTCAACAAAAAGGGATCAGTTATAGAAATGTCAACATCTGTGCTTTGTCGGGTTGCTCGATCACAGGAGAACATCGTTGCTGTAAGCCGAAGTGTAAGAGATGATCCGAACAACTCTATTTCCACTCGTTCTTAAGAACTTGGTCTTATTAACTGCGAATTTTGCATCACCGTCTTCAGATAACGACTTACGAGTCCAAATTACTTGAAAACTAAAGTCACCTGATCATGTGCGTCGAATTTTTGCGAACTGGGTTCTAGAGCAGTTGGGAAAAATATTGCTTTCCGATGAATAGCATTTCTGACTCAATGGATTCATAAATAAACCTAATTGCAGAATTAGGAGATGTCTCTTTATCCCCAGAAGGTCACTGGTGTAGTTTTTGAGGTCAAGATCGGACCTTATTTTTTTGAGGGGATAGATTAACATAGACAATGTTTTTTTCAATAAAATGGTGGAACTTGCCAGACAATTAATTTATTGCAACAACAATTTTCTGGGGGTGTTATTTCGAGAAATGCTAATGTCAACCGGCCACCAAGATCATCTGATCTCACCCTCTTGGACTTTTTCCTATGGGATTGTGAGAAATCTTTGGTTTATATAAACAGGTCACCAACAATTTCAACTTCCAACTGAATATTCAACGTATGCCATTGAAAATATATAACGTGAAATGTATAAGCGCAAGTTGTCGAAAATTATATCTCCAGAATTCATTCAGCCAGACGAAGTCGAGCAGCACATATAAATGATATTATATTTAAAATGTGTGTATTTGCAGTTATTATTGTCTCACTCTAAAGTTCTGACAAACTTGTTGAAAAATCACGTACTTTTGTCAACAGTTAATGACAGCTAATTCTAAAAATGTTCCTAAATTCCCATAACATGAATCAAGAGTAGATGTAATGGTTTTGTTCTCGCAATATTCGGAGACTAACTTGTCTCCAGAAATTATCAGACAAACAGTTCCAATATTTCTGACATTTGAAATTAGCCCTACGCTAAACCGTCAAAATGAATTATTACTCGTAATGATAACAGCATTAACAATTCAAATTTTTCACTAAAGACCAAAAGCGTAATTGGAAATATTTGGAAGATGAAGGGAAAGGTCGTGGTAGGTATATGAAGACAGTAGAGATAACTTTATGGGACGTCTTAAACTACATGGTGATCTGTTGCCAAATGAACAACATTTAACCAAATGATGACAACACTTTATTAACAAATCAACTTTCTTTATTCATTTTCTCACAATCAGCACTGAACAGGACTTGGATTATGAAGTATGTAGGTGCATGTTGAGTCATTGTCCAAATAAAGTACGAATCTTAAGACTTCCTATAGTAGGATCATATTCAATGCAAAGTAATAAATCATTGCCTGTCAAGGGAACCAATGAAGTACGCTTTGAAGGGTTTTACAAATTGAATAATTTCTTTATACATTATGAAGGGAGGAGGGGATCAGTTCAGGTCTGGCACCCTTGTTCCTACAAAAATTCCTTTATTCTCATAAACTATTTATTTTAAATGTAATTTATTATAAATCCAATTTGTTTCCTAAATTCCACATATGTACTACATTTTACCTCTGTACGCGCCACTGTTGTTTACTTGTTTTTTTGGAAGCGCTCTCTAATTGACGGCAAAGCTCGCCAGGTTAGTAATTGACGTATAACCGACCAGTTCGTATACTCGATGCACCTGGGCGACTACAGCTACTACCAGAACACAGTGCGTATGCAGCGGTATTTCAGATTGTACATTGAATTTCATTTTAAATTTGAAATGATTTATCTTACGCCTCCTAAAAATGATGACATGATTTTCCTTTGATAAAAGACCGACAACTTTTTGCTCTACTTTGCATCGAATACGATCCTACTATAGTTGTCAACACAAGGGCTCACTTTGCAGATTTGTGTTTTTGAATATTCTGGTGATGACTGGAAATACAAATTTTACTAAAATTTAAAATTGTTTATTTAACTGCATGGAAAGGAAGTTTTGGAGGGTCAGAACGCTTTGTCATGTAATTTCTGTATGCCTGTTCCTAGATTTTGTCCATTTTTAATGGCATTTAGTTATTTTCAAATATGCATTTTTACAATAGTCGGCAATTTATCTGCTAATTCTACCAATTTTCCCAAAATTTCCATTAAAGACCTAAATGTACTCTTTGATGCCAAATATCTATACAAGCCTAAGACTTTTAAATATGTAATGTTGAGAACGTTCAAAGAAATAATTTTCTATTCTCGTTTCTAATAGCGTATAGAGACTTAATACCTCTAAAATAAAGTAAGAAAACGTACAAGCGTTTAATTTATTAATAATAATAAAAAATTAATTTTAGTCAATACAATTTAAATTCAAGTATTGCACAACATTGCAACAAGAGATAGGTATTATAAAAATTCAAAATGTCATATTAAAAGTTAATCAAGGGTTAATATTTTAAATTTTCACTGAAAGGGGTTTCTATGTGGAAGAGATAAATGTAGAGAAATAAAATTTCAATACAGTTCCTTCGAACGCTTGAAGTCGGATCGATATTGCTATATTTGTGATTCGTGTAGAACGTACGAAATCAACAAAATTCATTAAAGAGAGATGGAAGACACTGACGTGGAAAAAACTCTCACAAATAACTGGTGTCTGCCCGGACACTGGTCGGAATCCGGAATGCTGTGGAACGTCTAGGGAGGGGATGGCAACGGGCCATGCGCAGAGAGGTGTGTATAAAATAACTCTGATCCCCGATTCCCTGCCTATTTTAGCTCGATCTTTCGCCTTTGGATAACACCCAGCGTCTCTTCTGCTAACATTTCTTTTTCAGCAATAGTGAAGTGTTATTTTGTGTCGCCAGCATGCTTAAAATACTCGATAAACTCTATAAAAAATGTTGAAGTATAAAAATAAAAACTAAACAATGCTGAATGGGATATTTCCGTCTGGTTGCTGACTAGGGTGTGGCACTCGCCACATAAGCAACTGTAACTGCCGAATCCCGTCAGACTGTGTGGTTTCTTTGCTAAAAAGCAATATTGCGTACAAAATAACTTGAACGGAATACCCACTATGTGTTGTATCGAAAAGAAATTGTGAGTGTACATACGTAGAAAATTACACAAGATGGATTATTTTGCATTAAAAAATGGATATGAACGTTCGAGTAAGTTGGCAAATTCTACTGAAAAATCCACCATACCTACTAACCACTATCAAATTACAAGTATCTAATTTTAACGAATAAAATTACGCCGTTAGACCTTTTCGGCTGAATTGATTTTTGCTAGGTCCCTCGAATGCGGAGACAATCCGTATCGTTTCCCGAACCCCATTTCCCCCTCCACTCCCCTCCTTTTTCCCACCCGCCATTATTGTGCAAGCGATGGCAACGTTGCCGGTTCTACGCATTACCAGCTTTCCACTGCTATCGTTGTATCGCTCCAGCGGACCAGGCAAGTCCTGCGCTTGAAAAACACGAACCCAAACCGGCTTCACGATCGAACCATTGTACGTATTATAGGACAGTCTGACTGAAAAGTTGTTTGTTTCTTTTTCTCTTATTCAGGATCCGTTTTTATTTCGTTTTATAGTCTCATTTTAGCTCGGGCTTTTACGATATTGGAATAACGTTGCGCGTTCTCGGAAATTTTAACGAAACCTCTTAGAAACCAAGCGGTATTAACGGTTATTGCATATAAAAGGGGATATTAACGTAACGTAGTCGTAACCATTGAAAACTGGGGCATGGAGAAATTCGCGAATTATATTTTATAATTTTTATTCTTAAATTACGACGCAGGTCGTTACCTAATTCGACCCGCTTGAGTGAAGAAAATATACCGCGATTTTTCAACACAACAAAGAAATTCACAAAGAACAGCAAATTTCCTACACCCAATTGTCCTATATTTAATTTATGAAAGCAATGTGTATATTCATTCTATTCACGTATAACTTTCGAAAGCATATACCTAATATCTATATCGATTGTTCTGTTAAATATAATTTTAAACGAAAGGTTTCGTACGAATAAACGTCCGTAAATGTTTAGTAAAATAATTACAGGGTGATAAACGTGCACTGCCAAAAGTTCATCTCCAAAATTATTGATCTGATTCAAATAAAACGACATACCTACATTTCTAGATTATCGACATTCAGTGAACTTATGGAGGAATGGTTTCATTCATATTAACAGTAGGGTAAATGTTTCTTTTATTTGAAAAAATTAAACGAAAGTGGCATTTTCGATAAAATAATTTTTCTGAAAGAAAACTTTAAAAGATACAACTAGGTATGTACTCTTGTTTGATCTTGACAATCTGCATTGTTTTCTGTACTAATTGCTGCCAAATTTTACTGATGCAAAAATTAAAATAAGAAAACGAGTTAGCAAAATACTTGGTGATGGAATCCTTTAATGCTAAAAAGGCCAACTGAAAAATGGAAGTTAAATAAATAAATGCATAACTCTGTATGAGAAATAATAGATTTTAACCCTAAGTCTCGGCGAGGACCTTTTTTATGTTATTTCAGATTTTATTTCAGAAAAATCAATTTTACACAAAAAATCATTTTCATCGCACTTTTTGATTTTTTGAGATGTACGGTCATAAAAAATTGTCTGCCTAAAATGACGTTTTTATCTCCATTCTTAGTTTGACACCATATTTTAAGAACACACTGTGTATTTAATGTCGTTATTTAGCTCTAAATATATTTTACACATACAATGGGGTGCAACAAATCCATTATAAATAAAAATATACATGATATATACAATTTATATCGTCTGGAAAATATTTACAGTGTTTGTACCTATTTAGCCTCGAAATAAACGAAATTTCGAGTATGATATTAGATAAGCTTATCTTTTTTTTGTGTCACGTCTGAACACAAAGGTCGAACACATTAAGAGATATAATGTGTTACACGACATGTGAGATTAACCAATTTTTTCGTGAAAATAAGACTGTATATCATTTTCATAAACCGTGCAGGTATTCCGGCACAAAATAAAGTCTGGAATGAATGCGCTATTGATGCAATTTGTTGTTAGTCATTAATATGGATTTATTGGATATCTAACATCACAATTTACGATTGTGCCATTTAAAACCAAGAACACAACGCCTACTAACAACTAAAACAGAGGTCACAGCAGAAAGTACTTTGTCACTCATTTTGATATTCATATTTTTTCACTGGCTAGTTTGTGATTGATTTAGGGTGAATGACGGACACGTAAGAAGCCGTCGAACGTGTTCTTATGCAAAAATATGTTAACGAGTGTTCCGTTTAATTATTTCGTCCGTAGATATACACCCAATATTAGCACGCTTCATTAAACACTGTTTATCGATGTTGATGATTGACCTTTCGTTTCCACTTCATCATCGTGCGTTAATATTAATACTGCAAATAATAAAAAAAATCACACAGAACACGCGTCCACTCCATCTTATCAATAAACTTAACTTATTATTCAACATGAATTGAAACAAGCCAATCGGATTGTTAAATATTTATCGAGACCGAGTCAAGGATACTTAATGGCAATTTTTGAACGAAAATAAACCACATATTCGCAATTGCTTAAACGCGAGTTTGTTCAATTGCCTATTATTAAACTTCTATTATAGTATCACGTCGATTTAAGGCATGTTTATTTCATTTGAGGACCCCTACACAGTGCAAAAGTGCCGTGTGACTGTATTATAAATATATAAATTAGGTACACAATATAAAAAAAAACAATAGTTTATTCAAGTCATCTAAGAGTAATAAAAAAGCTAATAATATATACCCATATCTCAGTACGCCGTGTTGAGAAGAGAAAAATAGGTACCTATATTATGGTTATCCACTAAAACGAAAGGTTTAAACAACAATTGCAAGTCGGGAACTGAAATTGTCAATCCAAACGCGTTGTTCTAGTTACAAAGTATATTATTTTTACTATGTTTTTATGTCAAATGTTTTATTTTGATTGACAAATGAAAGTCACTCGTTATCCTAATCCCATAAGATAAAATATTATAATTAATTAGTAGGTATTCACATTTAAATCGTGTTATCCTACATAATAAAATCCTGTTCACTTCACAGTTTTACTGTCAACTACTTGTATTGGTCCACTGTTTTTATCTTTTATAACTGCTTAAGGCCGAGATACGTAGAGATGGGTGCGTTCTTCCAGCAGCGATTCAATATATTAGCTTTTACGGTTTTTGCGCTAGTCAACAACCTACAAACTAGTATTTGTTAAATACGTTTAAAAATTCTAGGAAATATACTTATTTTAAGAATTTTGGACCAATATTTGCAGTAATAATAAGTGATTCACCATTTTATCGTACAGTTTGATGACAGTAACTTTTCACAATAATTGCAGAAGTATAGATAGACATAAAATATTATAAAATAAGTAAAGATATTGTGGTGTAAAAAAATGATACATGTGTAATTTTGAGAAAATAAGGCCAATCTGCAAATATATCACCTATCAAAGTTTAAAAATGTATATTCAGTCTTTTGATTCGGTGTAAATACCTTTTGGATTAGTAATTCCTTGCTATAAATTGCTGTAATAAAGGGATAAGTTAAGTAAACATCACGTAATTATTCGCTGTTCAACCATTTTTTGCAATTGGTAGGTATTTGTTTGCGTGAAATAGGTACATAATTTCGTAATAAATAGGTACGTAATTTCGTAAGAAATATGTGCATAGGTATTTAATAAATTTGTATACGGAAAAACATATCGTTATTTATGCCGTTCATTTGATGTAAATTATTCATTATTTTACACCTAAAGATGCAAATGAAAAATGTGTTTAGCGAAATAACGTGCTAATTATAAATATTAAAAAAAAAAATTATTATTTTTGCGACAGTAGATTGCTCTGATTCTTGCAGTTAGAATAATACTAGTAGTAGTAGTGAGAAACATGATAAAACACTTCATAATAAAGTTATTTTATAATACAGAGCAGACTCGTTAGGTAGATCGAATAATTTAATAATTATTTTTCTAGTCTAGAGAGACTATGCCTATTTATTGTACAAATTAAAATACAAATACACATTGTATATTATTCCACTCGACATCTTCGATTCCACTTCCTTGTAAAACTACGAGAAGAGAAACTTTCCTAGCGTTTGTTTTTTCTACCGCACACATCTCTTCGAGCAGGTTTGGTTATTTCTCATTATAAATCAACAAGAGTCGTGTGACGTCAGTGGGAGGTTAGGCAACGCCGCACGCCCGTTCAGAGAAGTTTTCCCCGTGTCTGGCTCTTGGCACGTCCTCAACTTAGCTGTGTTACTGTACGGCAGTCTAAAGCGGTACACCCAGTTACAAGATTTAGTAATAAAGAGTCCAGTTCGAGAGAAAGTAGGTTTGATATTATTAGTACGCAGGAATGATAGGAAATTTGCCGTCAGTGTTTAACTTGTCGAATTTTGGTGGTTAAAATTGTAGAAAAATAGCACATTTAACAGCTGTTTAATAGTTTATTTGAATCACGATTCGTAGGAACTACGTATAGAAACTTTATATGTAGGTACTATATTTATTTTTTTCATATTTAAGTTTAAAAAAATTCAGTCATAAAATATGCGCAGTAATAAAATTAACAAGTTAAAGGTTAATCAAAACATTCTTTTTATAGAAAATATCATCAGACTAGACATATACGCAGGTGTTATTTAGCTACGTTGAATTGGAATCAGAAAAAAATTCCACCGATCACGAAATTTATTCAAGTGTATACGTACGATAATGAGTTTTGGTTATTTGCTTTTTGATAGTCATTATTTTAATAGATAGATACTTTCAGTACCTACGTAAATATTTGATTAGGTACATCCAACTAGAATGGAACGGAAATTTTAACCTCCAAAATTATATGTAGGAATAAACATTGTAATTTTCAATAATCCAGTCCACTTCACTCAAAAAACTGATACAGAAAACAAAGGATATCCTATTATTTAGTTCTTGGAGAAAAAACAATGCGTCCGTTAGACCGTGTCGAAGAATTTACCTAATTCTAAAACCGTACAATCGTTTCAAAAAATGTTACCTACAACTTTTTAGTGAAAAATGCTTGATATCTAGTCAAAACTACATAATTTCAGCTTCAGCCTTCTAGTTTAACCAAGTTGTACTCGAACTAAACGTTATAAAAACATCAAAATCACGAAAGCATTACTAGGTACTAAAACCACGGCACAAATGTAAAAATATAGAAATGGGATTGTTCCTAGGCTACGTGACTTAGGTGAATGGTCGGCCAACGCAGATCTTGGTGGCACTTGTTTTTGCAAGGCACTCTGCGACTAATATAATGGCTGCTGACTCATCCGTACTATCCAGCCTGAAAATATCGACCGTGTTATTTTTATGTAGCAGGCTGCGGTCGGATACAGTAGTGTTGTTTTGCAATAATACAGAACTAGACAAAAGCCTATCGCATGGAATATTTATGAGATAAATTTAATTATTTATCGCAAGTGCACAATAACGTATTTTATGCTGTCATTTACCCCGTTTTCTTTCTTTGCAGACTTTTATGTGCAATGTGTCAGGAATACGAGGAATAACTAATATAAAAAAAAACAGCAAATAACGAGTGACTATTGAACAAAAGCATGGTAATATCAAATAACCTTTCGGACTGCTAGATATTGAGATAAAATGTAATTTTAAAGTAGTTACCTGAAAGGGTATGTCTCGGATCGAATTTAAAGAGGAAGTAGACAACAAAAACACTGAGGTAGTTACAATTTTTACTTTTACAAGGTATTATTAAATCTATCACGATATTTTTTTTCCAATAGGTACCTAGGTAACTGATAATTATTTTAATCTATTTTACCCGTAAAGTAGAAGGTTAGACGACTATTTCCACTTCACGTTAAAACTGTAAGTAGGAGACTGCTGCTCTCAAATTTAGTGGCATGCAGAAAAAAATTGGATCGTTTCGTTTCCGAGAGAAAAAAATAGAAAATTTAATATATCTTTTAGTAATTATCTCTGTAACAAATATATGATGACATGTACTTACTGCACCTGTCGTTTTGATAACTCTTTCCATTAAGCAGATGTCAGAAAATGATAAATGGACAATTAATACATCATTTTGTTGATATTTATATGTATATGTGGCACGTAGCAAATTGGATACTTTTATCTGAATGGAATATCAAATTCTGATGCTTTTTATACGTATGTATCAGCAAAATGGACATGTGTATTTTCAAGTATTGGTATTAAGTGGAAAAAATCCTCTTTGGCAGCTTCTGAACCAAATAAACTACTTCATATTTAAAAAAATTTATTTACTACCTAGGTGTTCCTAGTAATTTATAAGTTTATACAGGGTTGTCTTTAAGTACGTTTCTATAACGAAGGGCGCATTTTACTGAATCATTTTAAAGAAAAAATTCCTATGAACGTATGTCCTAGAAGATGAGTTGTTCAAGTTTTTGAAAATAATACAGGTAGATTAAAGAAGTTGAGCTCAACTTAACTAAGTTATGAATTTGGATACGGTTCGATCAATAGTGGCGATATTGGGAGGGAGTATTTTGAAAATTCAACAAATTTTTATCTTTAAGTCACTTTAAGATTCATTAATCTACCTCAATTTTTTTATCTACCTATTGTAATGGCATACTTAGCTTATCTTCATTACGACAGATCAAAATAACGGTAGTCAATTATCTTTTAATGGTATCTACAGGGTGTTTTCTAAGTATATGTTTTAATTTCAGGAAGCTGTTCCTTGGAACAATCTACGACGAAGAACCTTAACGAAAGTTTTTTTCAATGTCACCTTACGCATACAGGAAGATGTTTGATGCAGATTAATGTAATTTAGACTAGTCACTTAATTAAATAAATGTAAACGTTCATATAATTGCTTTTTACAAGTATGTCAATGATTGGCGGAGGAGGTACTACCCATAAATTCTGACCCAGTGGTGTCAGTCTTGGGATCTTTAAAATTCAATAAAATAAATAAAAAAATACTTCCACTCCAAAAAAGAACCATTTGGGAGGTATTCTCCTTATTTTACAGTTAGCTTAAAATATTTTCAACTAATAATATTGTGGAAAACAACTACTCTGCGTACTAAAACTCCGTCCAACCTTGAATTACACCCTCAATATCAGTAGAAATGAGAATGAAGATATAACAAATTTTGTAGATTATAACACTAACGCTCAAATTTTACAAATAATTCAGTAAATTGAAAATAATTCTAAAACTGCTTCGTTCACAAAAGTCTAGTTTTTTTTATTACAAATTCTCTTTTAGAGTTCAAAAAATCTATTGGTGTGAAATTTTTTTATATTTTTAGAAACTGTCTCTCTTTTTTCCAGAACAGCAAACGTTTCATATTTTCAAGCAAAGGGCGTGTGATTTTTTTATAATTTTTTTTTGTCAATTGAATCGATAAAATAAGTATATAATATTAAGTATCCTATTTTTCTTACATTTTATATGACTATACAGTAAATTTACATACTACTAAATATGTACTTTTATGTATCAATAAAAATATGTAAAATCCAACATTTGCATTTTAATTATTGTACGTTTTCTATGACATTTACAACCAGATGTCAATGCATTTCAGTTTATTACCAGTCTACATGGCACAACTCGACCGTTCCGGCCTTACAGGCCGACGGAAAACAACGACAAAAAAAAGACAGTAGGTATTCACTTCCTGGTCGAGTACAAAGCGTCGTATTTTTTCCATGCAAATTAAGCTTATTTATTACCCAGATAGGTGGGCGACGGTTTTAGCGAGTATACGTGATGCAATCCCTCTCGAAAATGTGTAGGCACTAAAAATCTCGGACTGCCACATTACTTATGTTATTTGTCTGGGCTCCTTTTTCAGACCGGCATGTCTGCTAACTTTCCAATACAGAAATGTTAATACTTAAATGAATAATCGGACGCGATCGAGAAATTTTATGGCGGTCGCCGAGGTGGGTACAGAAGTGTGTTAATGTTTAATACAGAAAACAACTTATGTAAAGATACATAATATTCTGATTGAAAGAAATAATCAGGAATTGCTTATTTAATGAGAAAAGGTAATTTTTTAGATCATAGGTTGACACTGTCGTCTGCAACATATGTCTTAGCTTTGACAGAAAAAAAATCACGTTTCACTTTTACTACTTAAGCGATACAAAAAACGGTAAAATGGCGCTTACAAACCAGCACTAGCTGTTTGAGATTTCGATGTAGGTACAAGAGGTACAAGATATCAAAATATTCTGTATATGTGGAATTCACAAATTTTTGGGTTTAAAGTGAAATAATTTAAGTAAATTTACCATAGTTGCCTTGTTTAGTTGTTAAAGGTCCTTAAAATTTGTACAAATTCTTAGTGTTTTAGATAATGAAGAAATTACATTTACCGAATTATAAAAAATGTCTATCTCTAAACAAATATCCTTATATTTTTTTTGCAGGTTGCCTTTTGACTTCACTTCTTATTTTATCATAGTAATTTAGTTTTTACAAGTTTCTTCAGCCCCGTGAATTTTATGTAACGGTTTTAGCGTAAATAATTATTTTATTCATCATCAACCAACGCACTTTCATACAAATCTGATTTCATTGCCAGTAAGAATTTAATTTATGTGATAATAAAACTGAAATGCCCTATGGAGGTAGAAACTTGTAACAGTAATCGATTGCTCTTTCACCAAAAACTGAAAATTTTCAGTAACACACAACTCGGTAAAAAAATAGCGTTCCTTTCAGATTTTCCCATACTACAAATTACGTACGATAGTTCGTCTTCTAATTGGTCTAATTTAATTATCCTCAAATAATAATAATCACAAGAATTTAAATTTGACAGTCACAATTTACAGAATGGAAGAAATCTTAAAATGGACACAATAAATTTCTTTTTTAACTTTTAATTTTAACTAATAATACAACACTACGAAAAATGGAGATCATTTCCAATAATTTCAATTATTTTTACTGCCAAATAAATCACTCAATTTATGATATTAAATCAGAACTGTATGGAAAACGCGTAAATAATGATTTATAAAAGTAAAAAAAATAAGAAATTGTATTTTATAAGAAAAGTAATGAAATAGTTAAAAAAATATTCACTTAATGCTGTGGATTTTCGGTATTTCCATAAATGTAATTACCACGATTACTAAGTCAAAAAGTGACATCTATGCACATGTATTAAAATGAACCAAAATTCATTAAATATTAGACAGTTTTAGAATTATTTGGAAAAAACTAAAATTTTTAAACAGACTAGTCATTTATTTGGTATCATGAAACACAAAATATTTCTTTTCTTATTCAAGTAAAACTACTGTATTGTCTGTTTTATTTAAATACGCATAGGTACGTTTAAAAAGTGAGGTTATTTAAACCACCAGTTCAAAAAATTAGGTTAATTAAATCAATTTTGTTTTATTTTAAGGAGACCATAAAAATTTTAGTTGCAGTAAGTATTTAGGTATTAGAAAAATGCATTATACTATTTAGGTATTTATAAAAAGTCACGGTAGGTAGATACAGGTAGTAGGTACGTATTAAAGTGCCTAATAAATAAACATTGTGAAGAGGAAATAGAATATTCAATTATAAAAAAACTTCTTAATATGTCGTTTACTACAAAAAAAAATAAGATTCTAGAAACATCTCTTATTAAAGCAAGATTTATAAATATGAATAGAATAGACGAGTATACAACCAGTGAATGAAAAATATAATAAGATTGCCCATTTATTATTAAAACAAGAGAAAGTACAGTAAAGTGGTATCAATTTTTTATAAGACAACTCTCTGTTGAGTAATAATTTTATTTTTCTCAACTGGGATTTTAAGGTATAAAAAAATAAAGGATAAATATTGTTCTTGTGGCTGCTGTTGAATTATTTGAAAATAGCTCGTTAGGTACACATCTAAAATTTATTATTTACTGGAAGTACCTGTGGACATACACAGGATGATTCATCAATGAACCTACACAGGGCGGTGCGTGCAGAAGTTCTAACGTCGCTTTTTATGCCGCTAGATGACGATAAAGTTGGTAAATAATCTCAATTTTTTTTCCAAACAACACCATCAGGTACCACGCTTCGTTCTATTTGAATCTGGTATGTAAGTACTTGTGAACAGATGTCACTTTATGACAGTAACCAAAGTAATTGTAGGTTTAAAAAAAGCGCACGCATAAATACATTTAAATTTTTTGCCAGGTGGTTCATTTCAAATTTTTCTCAGAAATTTTTTGTATACGCAACAATTTTCGCGTAATTTATTCTTCTATTAGTTACTACCAGCATTTTCAATACAAATCTGACTGACACTTAACTGGCAACGAAAATTTAATTTCTTTCATAACGAAAGGCAAGTTGTGAAATTCGTAATTGCATGCTCTTTCATGAAAATAACTGAAAAATAATCATTTCAGTAATACAAAATTCAGCTAAAAAAGATAATTAATTGCATGCATTTAAGATTTTTCTCATTCTGCAAATTGTCTACAGTAGTAGAATTCTAATTAATGATCTTCAAATATCACAAATATCCAAATTTGACAGTCACAATTTTACAGAATGGGAAGAAATGTGTTATGAAGGCAATTAAATCAAACGTGTATCAAAAATATATAGATTATTAATAAAATAATTAACTACGCGAAAATCGTTACTAATACAATTTGCAAGAGAGAAAAAAATTTAAATAAGAGCTGTAAAAGAGTTGTAACGTCATCTGCAGAAGTTTATTACATTTACAATCAGCACGATTGTATAATGCATGTACAAATAATAGGATCACTTCCTATTATTTAAATAAATCTGTACTTTGTATGCAATATTTAACATTTTCATCAATGGGGTCATTCTGTAAATTTTCAAAAACGTTCTTATTTTGTATACGCAAAGAATTGCTCATGATTAGACGATCCTGAAATTTTCAACTCAATCCGTTGAGCAGTTTTCAAATTATGATTTTTAAAATGCGAATATTTGTCTCAGCCCTGGCAATGCAATGACGTCACCGCATGGGACGGTCAGCCAGCTTGGCGAGCTGCATAGCAGTTAGGCGCGCGTAAGCTACGTCCAGATGAGTTTCTACATCTGCAAAATGTTTTAGCGTTTGTGCATATTAAATTAAAAAAAAACTGAAGCAAATTTCGTAAAAGCAGATTCTTCTAATTTGCCAGAAATAGATTTGTTAATGGTTATGGAGTTTTTTAATAAAAACCACGACTTTATCAGTGCTGAGCTGAGATGAGAGGTGTGAAAATGCAATGGTACGTTTCAATAACGTGTAAAGCTTCTATAAAGTACGTTTGTACCGAAAGTTTTTGTACAATAAGAATAGTAAATAAGAATAAGGATTTTGCGTTTAATTGGACGAAACCGTTTCTGTCAGAGGTTTTAAAGATTTACCTAAACAAATAGGTACAAATTTTTTTTATTCCCATAGAAACTATATAAAATCTACCTAATATCTTATAAATATATGAATAATAAAATATTTATTATGTACGAGTATTCACTGCGTCAGTTTATGATTTTTTTTTTTGAATGACTTGAAGGGTAGGCGATATAAAATTCTAATTTTTTGCAGATAACCTTAAAATTGCAGTATCTTTCCGTTAAGCAAATAAAAAAGTGCTGAACGAGCCCATTGTCGATTACCGATGTTTATAAAAAAAGAAGTACCAAATATTTTATTTTATTATTATTATGTATTATTATTAAATCTTCCAACATTGTTAATATCGCTTTGCACTGACAAAATAATACAGTAAATAATTATCATTCCATTTCCAGGTCATTGATGAAAAAAACAGACAATTAAATAAGCTACCTAAATTTTATGACCAGATAAAAATTAAAATTAAGCAATAATCATGTAAGTATGCCTAAAACAAACAAGTGATATACGGCAAGACCACTCCACAACGTGAAAAATTATCTCCGGGAAGCCTGCTCGGTTTCTACACCGCATTTTTTTTCGTATGCGTCGACGGGGCGATGGAGTGGCGCTCGACATTGCCAAAAACAACGGACGGGTGCGGCGTTGCCGGCTCCTCCCAGTCACATTTCACCGTTGCGCTGCGTAGAAACTAGTCAAGTGCACGGCGTGACTCAATATCGTGTAGTAGGTGGAGCACAGCTCGGGCACAGAAGTACGTTCTCCCGGCTTATACGAGGCGGTCGAAAAAACCGATCGCGGTCAGCGCGCCAATGCTGATGACCGATACCGAGGATCGTTACAGCTTCGAGAAAAACTGGGATAAAACGATTTTAATCTCGATCGTAATCAACGGATTTCCTTAGGCGTAAAGGGTTTAGATGTCAACCTCCCCCTTAACGTTTTTATTGTAAAGATTATAAAAATTTAATAGCTATCAACTAGAAGCTGATGATATGGAACTTTGTACATTGCCTGTTTTTTTCTAATGAAACACCCTGTATATTTTAAATATGAGTCTCTTGCTAATTAATGACAAAACGGCAGATCGAATTTTTTAAATGTTATTTGCGGATGTTCGG